CGACCGCAGAGCTCGTATTGGCGTTTAGGGGAGGGCCGGCTGTATCCTGAGAGGGACTATCGGGGGGGCTGCTGAGGGAACTGCCAGACGGTGACTGTGCTCCGGAATTCCTGCCCGGGGGTGCGGCATCGGCGGCGTCGGGCATATCGATGTCGGCTGCACCTTGGGCGGGACCGCTGGGCGACTGCGGTTCGGGATCGCTGCTTGATACGGCGTGAGCATCGCCCAGCAGTGAATTCATCGAGTGGAAACTTCGAAGGGTTCTTCGTCTAGAGCCGGGGTCGACCTCAAGTGGTGGGGGTTTCGTTGCAAGTGCATCCGACTGGCTTTCGCGGGGGGGCCTGCTGGAAGTGCTGGAAGTGCTTGCGGAATCGGTGGAGCCGGCGCTACTCTCTTGCTCGCTGCTCGCCGTCGATGACGCAGCCGAAGATGGCGAAGGGCCCGATGCAGGTGCCCCAGAGACTGCATCTAAGTCGATAGTTAGCTCTTTGTTTGGCGGTTGCCTGCCTAATGTGGCTGCTCACCAGTCCCGGCCGTATTCCGTTGGCGAAGCTCAAGTTTAGCCTGTCTCTTGGCCTTTTCAGCCTCTTGTTTGAGCCGTTCCTTTTCGGCCTCTAATTCCTCTATCTTCTTGGCTAGCTTGGCCCGGACATTCTCGATCTCTTTGGCGTGCTGTTTTGCTAGCTGTCTCTCGATGTTCTCGGTATGTTGCTCAGTCTGCTCACTGGTCCCGGCTGTACTTTTCTTCTTGCTCTGGCGCAGTTTGTCAAGCTCGGCCCGCAAGTTCTGGTTCTCCTCGGCCTGCCGTCTGATCTCCTCAGTCTGCTTCTCAGCCTGCTGCTGGGCCCTCTCCTCAGCCTGCTCTTTAAGCCTTGTGTTTTCTTCCTCCAGTTCCCGGATCTTTGCGTCGCGGTCGCGGTCGCGGTCGCGGGCACGGGAGCGGTTTCCCAGGTTGCTTTGAAGCCATTGCTTGACCTTAGCGGGTCCGTTGGAAATGTATTCCTTGACTTCGCGAGGCGCGTTATCGAAAACGCCGCCTAAGGCCGCCATTGCGTCGAGGCCCGCTCAATCGAGCGAGTGATGCTTGAGTGGAAGAAAGAGGTCCGCGCGACGTGGGGCAGCTGGCCGTTTTAATGCGGACTACTTACGGATTTGTGGCTGACGCCCTTGGTATTGGTAGGGTTTTGGCAGCGCCAGGCAGCGGTTATGCATTGTTTGTGGCTGACGTGGCTTAGCGGAACGCGTTTTACCGCGCCGTGTTCGTCGCGTCAAACACCGCATCCCAACGCGAATCGTCGCGCAAACTCGCACATCCAGTTTGGCAGGAACTTCTCGGTACCTGAGTGCAAACAATTAGACATATGCATAATTTAAACGCTTGCAAAGCAGATTATGCAAATAGGATGGAGGGGGAGGGGTTGTCGACCAGCCATTGCCGCAGTATAGGACAATATAAACCCGATTAAAAGGCTTCCTCTAGGCCCAAATAGACGTGCGCAACCGAGGCGCCCCTCAATTCGAGATGCGCGCACGTTTATACCCGTCTGGGTTCCATTTATAAAAGGTCGGAAGTCCAGTGAAAGGGCTGATGGCGTGTCAATGCAGGCCTTATTGCTTGATGCGGCGTCGTGGCGACATCCCCGTTCTGTTTTCCACCCTAATAAGTGCTCAGGTGGTGCTCAGGGATCTAACCACCCCCACCACACTTTCGCAACCAACATCGCCTCGCCTTCCACGACTTTGGTCAACTTTACGGCAAGCGGGCGTGAAGGCATATCCGAGTGCTGAGTCGAGGCCGGTATGAAAACCAGGGACTGTGGTGGCGTGGCGCCTGGGGAAAGTTGAAATCGGATTAACGTCTGTGCCTCGGGTGGGGGTGCATTGCGCCCCTCCCGTCAAGCAGCCACCACTGTGGCTCTCAGACGCGCCCGCGACGGTGGCTGGGCGACTCTAAGTGGCCGCGTTGCGCCGGCTCTAGGAGGATAGGTACAGGGAAAGTTATAACCACGAGGCAACCGTAAAATCCTACTCCTGGCCTCCTCTCTTTCCTTTTGGGCCCTGTGTCCCCTTATTCCAGTCTGCCGACCTCCACGATCGGGAGCTCCTCCTCCACTTCCGAGTCCTCCGGGTCCTCCTCCCGGGATTCTTGTCCCTTGGCCTCTATCCCATTTTTGTTGACGTGCATTAACTGGTCAACCCCTATGTTTTTGAGTGTTTTCTCGATCCTTATCCGGATCATAGCGTTTTTGCCCCTCCTCCACCACTTGGCTTCCTCCGTGTTGTTTTGTTCCAGGATGGGTTCCTTTCTCCATGGGGCGGGCACCTTGCGTACCTCGCATCTATCGGTGTGACCTACTTTTTTGACCTTTCCGCAGATGCAGTACTAGCCTGGCGCTGGCAGGTGGCTAAACCATAGGTGGTAGGACTTAAAGTTGTCGTGTCCCGACCCTTCTGCCAGCAGTGAAGCTGGCCCCTGCCTTCCACTAGCGCGGGGTCGTGTGTCACCCTTTCGCACGCTCCCCTCCCGTGTATGTCCTTTTCCCATGTGTGCTTGGGGTCCCACGAGACGTTGGCGAATGAGGTCGGCCTGTTAGCCTCCCACCACACTTCCGGGTCGGCTTGTTCTAGGCGTGGGCCTGGGTCCCCCTTCGGGCGGGAGGCCTTGGGCGGCCTGTTCTGCAGGCCGAATAGGTCCACCACCTCTGTCGCCCCTGGGCTGATTGGGTTTAGGTTTCGGAACCGTTCCGGTACGGTGCTTGTGTACAGTCTCGACAGGCGGGAGGGGGTATCCATCGAATGCCTGAGCCTGAACGTGGCGGGGTGGGTGACCGGAAGGGTGTGCAGCCTTCTGGACGCCCTGGCCAGCTCTCTTCCCCATACTTCTTGTGGGGAGAACCTGCAAACTATGGGACGACTTGAGCCCATCTTTATGATATGATTAGCGCTACAAGAGAAGACCAAAAGACCCAATACTAATGTCCGTGGGGACTCCGTCTGGGAAGACAGGCCCAAAGGCTCGCACTACCGTCTTTTAATGCAACACGCCACGCAAGGGTAGTCGGGAGCGTGCTGCGGCGAAAAGACAGCGTTCTAACGGCAGGGGCGTTTGAGCGCCCCGTCGGGTTTAAGACGGTGGTCGACCCTCGCGGCGTGCATCTTTGCGAGGGCCGTCAGAGACATGATCTTTGGCGATGAATCTCTCGACGGTTCGCCGCGTCAATTTCTTAACAGCATGCATAAATCCGTTGGCCGACCGCGACGCTTGAAAGTCGCCGCCCTAATCCTGGCCCCTGCATACGCAGCTTCGCAGCCAACTTCTTTTTGTGAACGCACCCCCCGCCACCATTGCTAGCACCGGCTGCTCTGCCCAACCGTGTACTAGCCCCAAATGCGACAATCCGCCGCGCGAGTCCCGATGGAGTGAATTTACGCCCCGACCGTTTCGGGCATAAACCCGACAACGGGGACGACTGGCGAAATTGCCGAACCTGGACCTATACCTCCTCGAAGTTGCCAGTCACTTCGTATTTCGCAGGTTGCATATGCAGGCCAACGCATGCTTGACGTTAAGGCAGCTGCTTCGAGTAAGGGCGTCGACCTGGGGAGAGGTTGGGACAGCTGTCGCCGCCTCTGGCTCGAAAGTACAAGCAGTGGGCAGTAGGCAGGCTGCGGAACAAGGATTCAAGTGCGCTTACCTGTGCCAACTTAGCTTTAAGCCCATCGCCCACCCTCGACGTACGGGTGAACACAGTCTTCTGAACGCGGTGAAGGAACAC